CATATAATGCAACAATTCTACTTATAGGTGTTTATCTGAAGGAAACAAAAACACTAACTCCAAAACATATATGAACCCCCGTGTTCACCACAGCATTATTATTATTTTTAAAATAAATTTATTTATTTATTTTTGGCTGTGTTGGGTCTTTGTTGCTGTGCACAGGCTTTCTCTAGTTGCAGTGAGCGGGGGCTACTTTTCATTGTGGTGTGAGGGCTTCTCATTGCAGTGGCTTCTCATCGCAGAGCACGGGCTCTAGGTGCACGGGCTTCAGCAGTTGTGGCGCATGGGCTTAGTTGTTCTGCGGCATGTGGGATCTTCCTGGACCAGGGCTTGAACCCATGTGCCCTGCATTAGCAGGCGGATTCTTAAGCACTGCGCCACCAGGAAAGCTCGACTGCAGCATTATTTATAATAGCTAAGACATGGAAACAACCTAAGTGTCCATCAAATGGATGAATAAAGAAGTTGTGGTGTGTATGTGTGTAAATATATATATATGGAATATTATTCAGCTATAAAAAGGAAGGAATTACTGCCACTGCAACAACATGTATGGACCTTAAAGGCATTATGCTAAGTGAAATAAGTCAGACAGAGATAGACAAACACCCTATGACCTCACTCACATCTAGAGTCTAAGAAACAAATAAAACAAAAAACCCCGAAAATCATAGGTACAGAGTACAGTTTGGTGGTTGCCAGAGGTGGGGAGGGGGTTTGACGAAGGGTGCAATGGGTGAAGGGGGTCAAAAGGTGCAAACTTCCAGCTATAAAATAAGTAAGTCCTGGAGATGTAACGTACAGCATGATGACTATAGTTAATAATACTATATTGTATGTTTGAAAGTTGCTAAGACGGTAGACCTTAAAACTTCTCATGACAAGAAAAAAAATTTTGTAACTATGTGTGGTGATAAATGGTAACCAGATTTATTGTGGTGATCACTGCACAATATATACATATATCATACCATTATATCATATACCTGAAACTAATATAATGTTATATGTCAATTATATCTCAATTAAAAAAACAAAACAAAAAGCTGGAAAAAACTGTTGTTAAAAATACTAAAGTATAAGCCTTTTCCCTTTCTTCCAAAAAAAAAAAAAAGAAAAAGAAAAACCACAAAAATACTCCAGATTAAATTCCTCAAAAAACAACAACAACAAAAACTTACAGGTAGCATCAGACTTAATAGTGTAAGCACAACTGAATGCTTTCCCCTACAATCAGGAACAGGACATGTCCACTCTCACTTCTTTTTAACATTGTACTGGAGGTTCTAGCCAGTACTAAATTAAAAAAAAAAGACATATAAGTCATCCAGATTAGAAAGGAAGAAACAAAACTGTCTTTATTTGCAGTTGGCATGACCTTCTATGTAGAAATGTGATGAATCTACAAATATGCTACAAGAGCTAATAAGTGAATTAGGTAATAACACAGGTACAAAATCAACATATAAAAAATCAACTACATTTCTATCTACTATTATTGAACTACCAAAAATTGAAATAAAAAAAAAAAAACTTGACCATTTATAAAAGCATCTAGAAATATGATATCTTTAGGGAA